ATACACCCATTTAGGAATAGCAGCTACATGTTTGGAGTTTTAAAAGGAACCATTTACCTTTGAGATAGAGATAAAGCCCTCAGTGCAAGTTAGGCAAGAACAAGGCACCTTTCTGAGCAAATCCATTTTCTGACCATCACATCCCGTGGACAAAGCCCTGTTCCCTATAGTTGTGCTTGCATCCTAAGATTTATTTCCAGTCTCATTACTACTTCATCAGAAAACTACTCTTGTGTTTTCACATATAACATTATTGTTAAGTAGAGCTTTAAAGGGCCAAAATATTGCAGTTTAATAACAAAAAGCAGGAAATTATTTGTCTGGAAGAAATTTACTTTGCAGAAGGCATTTCTAAGATAAGAAAAGATTCATCCCCACCAGTGCTTAAATCTTTGTTATTCTAAGTGTAGTCGGCAACCTCAGCACCACCTGGAAGCTTGTCACAAAGGCAGAAACTTGGAACTTGGAACTCACTCCAAACCTACAGAAACAGAATCTACAATTTAATAAGACCCTCTGATAATATGTGTGTGTGTGTGTGTGTGTGTGTATCACATTTTTCAAAGAGATAGCAATGTAAAAGCTTCTATTATCAGAAATTCTTTCAGAAAATTAATGTTTAATCTTATGGGAAAAAAAGTTAAATTATTTTAGGAAAGTATATGAATAGTGTGAGAGTTGCTTTATGATGAAACATGTCTGAAGTGGTCCCCTCTGACACCTATGCCTGATGGTGGCGTCCAGGGTTTCCAGCATAGCACACCATCCCAGCCATGTTCGATCACCACCTGGGAGTCTCTCCTCCCTCTTCAAGTTCTGTGTCCTCTTCACAGGCTCAGTGTAGCTCCCAATTATGTGAGCACTACAGATTAAAGAGCATACAAGAGTGTGGGGAAAAGAGGAAGTCTTTTTAGTCTTCAGCTAAAGACTATGATCTTCCATAGTTAACATATGATCTTCCATAGTTAAAATACACAAGTCACTCCGATCATTCTGGCACCACTTGCTTGAGTCTGCTCTTTACAAATTGTTTGTGGATTAAGGGAAGTAGTGGCTTCTGTATCTTCTCACCAGGAAAGTTAGGGAGGATAAGACTAAACTTGACTATTCATGCATTGCAAAGTAGCTAGAGTCCTTTTTAGAGTTCTTTCAGCGGCATGTTTTCACAGCAATCGTGAACATCCTATAAGTTACATGACATGATGTGATTTTCAAAATCTGATCTCTTATGTTCATATGGGGAAATGTTTTAAGACTATAGTAAAAGTGTACCCATTAGCGTATACTACAAAAAAAATAGAATCTCACAGTGAACAAAGAAGATTAAGTAAAGCATCAGTTGACTTTTACAGTTAAAAAAAAATCCTGTGGAGGAGATTATAATGATGTTCTTTATCATTGTTCTGAAAAGAAAATCAACTCTAAGAAAGTTATAACAGGCCTAATTAATGCTTAAATTGTTCTTCCTGAGAAACAGGTTTTTTTATGTGATATAAATGGATTTCCTAGAAAATATTCTTGTCTGTATTTAGTTATTCAATGTTCTTTCCTACATTGTGGTAACATACAGCCCTTCACAACAGGAAATGAAAGGTTTTTATTTCTGCTTTTGATTTTGGCTTGTTTTTATTCGTACTATACAAGTAAGAAGTAAATAAAACATGAAGACATTGACGATTTTTATCTACCAGTATCACTTTTTCAAAACAATAGTTATATTTGGGTTGAAGATAATTGCCCATTTAAAATATATATGCATGGTTTTGGTTCATGGAAAAAATAATTTTTGTTATATGAAAAGAGTTTTTCTGCTGTGAATGTCTATACCTAAGTCACCTTAGCCTGCATGGTCATGAATTATGTAGTATAATCCACTTTCTAACCATGTGGCCTGCCTGGGACAAATCAGTTAATGTCTCTGCATCTCATTTGCCTTATCTGTAAAATAGAGCTAAAAATTAAACCTAACTCTTAGTGTTATTTTGAGGACTGCATGATATAATACATTAAAAAGTGTTGAACAGAGTGTGTGGTCCATAGTAAGAGCCTACCTCATGTTATATATTGCATTGTTTTATTCTTCCCACATCATCATTCAACCAAGTTTGACAGAAATTTAATATACAGAAGCCATTCTGTTTTATTCTGAAATATAAAATGGCCACATTCCCTTAAAACACAGCCATTTTCATCCGTATAAAAATAGTACAGAAAATTCTCCTACTTATACCACTAGCTCTGCTCTTTTTCTTACACGAGCCAAACTTCTCATCAGATCATTCCATCTTCATATCTTCAGTTCCTCAATCTTCATCCACTCCTCAATTCATCGTAACATGGCTTCTGCCCTATTGCAGAAATTCTCCGCCATAAATGCTACTGTCTTTTGACTGATACATTTAATGACACCTTTTCACTTCTGATATTATTGACCCTTCATGCAGCATTTGACATCTTGGGTGATGCTATCTTATGTCTCTTCTGAGTGTCCTTCATTGTCTTCCTTAAGCCTTCATTTTAAATGCTTCTATTCCCAGAATCCCACATTTGGCCTTTTTTATATATACATCATGAAATTACTACCACTCTTTGCTGAGAACTGCTAGGTGTACATTCTTCTTGCCCTTTCTCTGTTTCTATCTATTTCCCATTCCCTATTCTAGAGCCTCTGAGTGTGTTTTCAGGAAATTTTCTCAACCAGTCTAGCAACAGCTAAGTATCTGGTAGTGTGCTAGGCATGAGGATTGTAATGAAATATAGTAATTAAACACCCAGAAGGCTTTAAGAGACCTTGAAATAGAATATGGTTTATCCTTCTATTTTCAGGTATTTCCTCATCTACATTCACGTATGACATGAGTTTTCATTGTTGTTGTTATTCAGTCGCTAAATAGTGTATGATTCTTTGCAACCCCATGAACTGCAGCACACCAGGCTTCTCTGTCCATCACTATCTCCCTGAATTTACTCAAACTCATGTCCGTTGAGTCCATGATACCATCCACCCATCTCATCCTCTGTCGCCCCCTATCCTCTTGGCCTAAATTTTTCATCATCGAGGTCTGTTCCAATGAATCAGCTCTTTGCATTAGGTGGCCAAAGTATTGGAGCTCCTTTATTGGCTGCTATCACCAGGCACGATGATATATGCTAAGAATCTAACATCTGGGAAGATAGGCTAGAAATGAGTTTTGCTTTGCTTACTTTTGTTTGGATGGTTCTTTGGATTGATTTGAAATATGGATGTAGAGAGTCATTGGATTCTAGGTGATAAATTTACTGTTTAAGTGATGGTGGGCCATATGGATGAAGAGGTCCTACCAGCAGTTGTAAATGAGTTTCTGGAGTCTATGTGTAGTATAAAAATTGGAGAATTATCTTTGTAAGTAATCAATCTGGAAGTGTTTCTCTAAATCCACTAAATTCAAGCTCTAACTCAAATCCTAACAGACTCTCAAATATATTGTTTTTAGAAGGATCCTAAATTTCTCAGATTCAGCCTTCCTTAACTATAGAATTAAATCTCTGTTTTCTAACAAATGGTCATGCAAATAAAAAAAATCTCTCCTGCATATGCATTCATTAAACATATCTCTATTAAGAGCAGAATAAGTGACAAACTCTATGCTAGTCACTGGGGATAATATGTTGTCCAAAATAAATATAGGTTCTTCCCTCCTAAAGCTTCAGTCTATTGGGGAAGGGAGCTGTCAATCAAATAATCTTGCAAAAGTTAGAAGTCAAAACTGTATGAGTTAAGGAGGCTTTAATCTATATGGAACTCCTAGAGGCCTCCTTGAAGAAGTAATATTTCCCATGAGATTGAAGCTGTGCCACATGTAAAAAGCAAAGGCCTTCCAGGCAGCAAGGTCTTATGAGGTCTCAAGGCAAAGAAAGAATGTGGCAAATCTGAGGAGAAGAGGAAAGACCTGTGTGATTGGAGCATAGTGAATACAAAGAAGAACAACAATAGATGAAGCTACAGAGGTAGGCATTGGTACCTGAGGACTGAGTTAACTTATGCGAGCATTCCAGCCCAGCATGACCACCTTCAAACAAGGTACATGACCAGCCCAGACATGTACCTTCAAGCAGAACATCTCAACAGAGAGAAAATGAGAGATTAAAATGTCCATTCTTATGTTGTACTGAATTTAACTCCTTAGAAATTCTACCTATTGGACCTAATTTTTTACAGCCATATTGACTATACATGACATATAGTACACTACACATATTTAGGGGTTTCCCTGGTGACTTATATGGTAAAGAATCTGCCTGCAATGCAGGAGACCTGGGTTCAATCTCTAGATTGGGAAGATCTCCTGGATAAGGGAATGGAAACCAATCCAGTATTCTTGCCTGGAGAATTCCATGGAAAGAGGAGCCTGGAGGGCTACAGTCCATGGAGTTGCAAAGTCAGACACAACTGAGTAACTAACACTTTACACATATTTAAAGTATACAGCCTGTTGTTTTGAAATATGTATATACCTGTGAGACTGTCCCCACATCAAGTTGATGAAAGTATCCATAGTCCCTGAAAGTTTCCCTGTGCCCCTTGACAGTTTTTCCTTCCCTAACATTCCTATCACCTGCAGGCAATGACTGACACATCATGCTTAGACCAGTGCCTAGCATATAAAATAAATTGTGTTGACTGTCTGAAAAGTGAGTCTGTTTAGAGAATTAGTTCTTGGTTTGACTGAAGCTGGTACTCCAATACTTTGGCCACCTGATGCGAAGAACTGACTCATTTGAAAAGACCCTGATGCTGGGAAAGGTTGAAGGTGGAAGGAGAAGGGGATGACAGAGGATGAGATGGTTGGATGGCATCATCAACTCAATGGACATGAGTTTGAGTAAACTCCGGGAGTTGGTGATGGACAGGGAGGCCTGGCTTGCTGCAGTCCATGGGGTCACAAAGAGTCTGACACGACTGAGCAACTGAACTGAACTAAACTGACCTGACATTCTGTTGGTTGCTCTACCTTTTCTAGGTATGCAGTGCTGTTCAAAATCAGGACTTCACTATCATTCAAGACTACTGCACTGGCCTCAAAGCCTTGCTTTATCTGAAAAGCATTGAAGAACTACAGGACTGGGATGGGCAGAGTCCAGCCACGAGGAGTCACCAGAAAGGGAAACCAGTTCCTTGTATTGCTGAACTTGTGGGAAAGGTATGTGGTCGCTTCTCTTGGGCTGTCTTTGAGGACTCTGCATTTTTTCATTTTCCATTTCAGGTCTTGTTTGCCCTCCCACCATCCTACTAACAGGGGAAACACAGATGCCCCATTGGATATGATTGCACAGTAGAATCGTTCTGAAGGAGCCTTGATTACAACTATATGACAGGTCTCTGAGCTACATTTTTATGAAACCTGTATAACACAAGGTCATATAAAGGAAAAATATTGAAGTTTATAGTATAAAATGCCTCCAAATTTTTGCTTACTGTGGTGATGACTGGCATTCTTTCCAGTGGGAGGCTGGAGATTTCTTTATTCTTTAACCAGCTCTGGAAATGATAACATTACCTTTCTATTTTCAGACAATCAAATCACTGGAGCCCTGAATAATATGATGAAGTTTTTAAAATTAAAATCTAATCAGTATCTTTTGTAACTGCTTCAGCTATGTGTGTGGTTAAATCTGGGCTCAAAAGGTTATGTCCCAACTTTCTCTCTAACTGCTATTTTCAGAGAAATATACACTACATTTACATTTTGTATAATACAGTGATTTTAGCAAATCTTTTCTGAAACAACATTCAGTATTTTGCCTTTGTATTTCCTTTGTATTATTCTAAATAGACAACCATTGTCAGAAGACGTTTCTTGAGTCCTGAATGAGGGGAGGAAAAAATTGTAATTCTTAGTCTTTTCAGCTTGTCACTACATCAATAATTAACTTTAAAAAAGGAGAGGCAAGTATAAAAAGATTCTTTAAGGAAGCATTTAATAATTCAAATGAATCTTAACTTGAAACAGGTCACATGAAAAAGAATAGAAAACAAAAACCCTGGGTTCTGTGCTTTCGATGGCAGGGTTAGGGGCCCAGAAAGAATAAGAGAAACATCATATAATGATTTACATTTGACTAGTTTTAATTGGAAGTATCACTATTCTTCTCTGAAGAGATAGCCAAAAATAAGAGCTTCTTATAGATTAATGTGTATGAATGACCCCAAGTCCAGTGTTCAAAAATAAAAGGGGGGAAAAATAAAATCTTGCTGGTTTCCAGGAAAATATCGTGATGAATGACTCCACGAATGGCAATCAAACAGAAAGGCTGGGTGACATTAATATTTATAATATTATAATTAGCAAGACTGTGCCTAAGCAGTATTATTAGTGTAACTAATCATATTATCATAAACTGAGTCTGGAAGTATTTAGACAGTGAGTGTTCGTGCCTTTATCAATGATCATCAATATCCCAAGGTTGTTCATAACTAAAGAAAAATTTACAAATAACTTTACGCTCATGCAATGTAAATATATCAAGTTAATTGTTTCTGACATGATAGTTTTGATAGTTTATGGCCATCTATAAAAGCATTGTCTCAAATGTATGCAGTCATCATGACAGCTGAAATGGAAGAGGCTGCATTGACCTGTGTCATTTCGTCTCTTAAGGACTTCCACACTCATTTCAAAACTTACATATTCAAATAAAAGATGGGTAATGATGGAGACACTTGTGTCAATAACATAAGTGGAGACTGATTTTCAGATAGTTTGAATCTAGGTTTAGACTTTATTTTGGTAAGCTCAGCCTTCATCAAAATTGTAAGTGTAATTTTCAGTATTATCATTTGTTAAAAAAAAGAAGATCTTGCCGATGTGATTGTATTACTGATTCATTTCTCAGCACTAAATTGAGGAACAAGCAGATGGTCTGGTAAATAGATCTATGCTCCAGAGTCTCCGGTGAGGGCTGACATGACTCAAACAATAGGTGACTATCTCCTTTAGGTTAATATTCCGAATAGTGAATCAAAGCACTCTGGGTCCACAGTACAGGTGGCTTTCTAGCTGTTCTTTCCTGGTGTGTGTGTGTGTGTGTGTGTGTGTGTGTGTGTGTGTGTGTGTCCATCTTTGACAATAATTCATATTATATTCTCATTAGCTAAAGAGTAGGATGCTGCTTATTACCATGTTTTCATGCTATAGGGAAATAAGAGAAGATGCAGATGCTTTTAAAAAGCCCCACTAGAAGTAGCAGGCTTCTTTAGACAGGAAAAAAATTTGTTTGGAAAGTATAATTGTTACTCTACTTAATCTTTCACTCAGAGGTCAGGCTAGAATAAATTAGAGTAGAAATTTAGAAGAAACCAATTACAGTACAGTGTTTGAAGATGGAGGAAAATGAGACTTGAGCCATGGAAACAAGGATTTGGCCAAATTAGTCATGTTATCTTTCAAGTAATTAATATATTTAATATATTCTCCCTAATGCATGCCTCACGTATTAATTGATTAAACTTCCCAAGCAATGTTTCTTCATGTGACTCTGGAAGAGCAAGAAGTCAGGCATTTATAGTTTGTTCTGGTCTTATGGTGCAAGTTGTACAAATTTGTGCCCCAAGCATGAGAGTAGATCCCATAGGAAGGGCAGTCATAGCTCTGCTCCACCACAGAGCTGTCGATTGCCAACTCGGTGCTTGAATACTGTGTGGCATGCGTCTGACAGTGGAGATTCCCCCGCTCCACTCCTAGAGGTCCCGATTTAACTGGTCAAGGGTGGGTCCAGGAATCTGCATTTTAACACCTTAATTCTGATGGAAGGACACAAAGATCCATGTTGCCAAGAGGAATGAAGAGAATAGCAACTGAATAGAGTCAGAGACTGAGAAGATAGTAATAGACACAACACAAGCTTCTTTTGTGGGAGAAAGCTGGTAAAAGTGATTTTGAGCTGGAAGAGAAATGACATAGAGAATCGGGAGAGGAAATCCAGAGAAGCAGCACCCTGGGTTCTGTATAGCCAGTGGCTGAACATGCCCATCGAGGAACCAGGGAGTTAGTTCAGCTATTGGATCAAAGACACGTAAGCAAGAAGAATTGTAAGGACAGAGACAGTTCTCAAAGGAATGACATCCAGAGTCCATGCAGACAGTCAGCAATGAGGATGTCTGTGAGGATTAGGAAGCCGAGACTATTCACAGTATCATCAAAAAAGGAGAGGCATCTATAGCCAAACCCTTTTATTTTATACTCAGTTACCTTAATTCCCTCTTTACCTGGCAAAAACCTGGCAGCTCAATAAAAGTGAAATGTCTGCTTGCTGCATGTGGGACAGTGGTTACTGGCAGAGTTCAGAGTAAGCCTGTTGGGTTTCTATGAGGCTTCGTCACTTACTAGCTAAGCAACTCAGGCAAGTTAATTAATCTCTCTAAATCTGTGTCTTAAACTATAAAATAAGGATAACCACAAGTCCACATTCTCTCATTAACAATTCTGAAACCCAAAAAACTCTGAAACCAAATGCTTCACATAACTCATTTGGCAGCAAACCTGGCCTGAACTGATGTGAGGCTATTTATAATCTTTATTTATTCCTCTTAGAGTGAACATTTGCATGTTTACTGCAGAGAGACTAATGTGTTTGAGTCCAGGTTGCCACTCCGAATCTTGCTGGAGGTATTAGGTATAATGTAGTAAATGTACCATTTTTCTTTCTTAAAGTCCAAAAAAGTTTCTGAATTTTGAAATGCAATTCGCCTCAAGTATTTTAGATAAACTGTTGTGAAGAATACTTAAATGAAAATGTAACTGCGATTATATCTTTATCCACAAATTCTTCTTCAGAGTTGGAGGCAAACTATATGTTTTAGTGACATTAGAAAATAAAATGCTAATATTTGGCATTTTAAGGTGTGAAAATAAGAATTATGTTGAGATTATTTGCTTGAGAAACATGGAAGAAATTGCATACTAAAAGAAAAAAAAATTGTAATCAGAAAGCATGGAAGGAAATGACTGCACTTTTCCGTGCTTAGGATGAAAGCAGAATTCCTAGGCAAGAGCCCTTGAGAGGAAACAACACAGGACAGCACAGTTGATTGCTTGGGCTCTGTGTACATTTTCACCTGCTATCTTTACATCCGTAATGTCTTTCCAGTTCACTAGAGAGTAATTAAAGCATCCTCTTCTCTTTGAGTTATTCTCTGACCTCTCTGAGCAGGATCAATTTCTCCTTTTCTTCTTCCATCTGAGTTGCAACCAGTATCACACAGCATTTGAATTTTTGCATCTCTGATTCTTCTGCCAGACAGTCTTCACCTTTGTATCCCAATTCCTGGGTACCCACTGATACTCAGTAAGGGCTTAATAAATGATGCTTGAATAAGTAAATGAATGAATAAATAAATGTTGTAAGAAAACAGCTAAGTAGTAGAACTAACAGTCAATATTTACCATACCATCGTTTTCCCCATTACATCAAAAATGAAAAAAGAAAAATAGAAACTTTGAACTTAAAAGGCTTTTTTGGTGTATGAGTCTAATAAAATGAGATGGAAAGAAGCCAGAGTGAAAAGAACGAGGTATGCAAGTGAACGATCTTCATTCCTTCTAGAATTGGCAAAATGTACCTAGAGTGTAAGCTTCTTGAGGGTCTAGACCACACTGTGTACCAGTGGCTGACCTAATGCTCATCATTTAGGAGTGGCAGCATGGTAGCTGAATTGCTGAATGATATATTAATCACTCTTTTTTTTTTTAATCTTAAATGTGTTACCTATCTTAAATGTCACTTCCTTTGTGAAGTCATCTATGACTTCTTCCTCTCCCTCTAGAAAAATTGAGTCGCTTCTTTGATAGTTCAGTTGGTAAAGAATCTGCCTGCAATGGAAGAGACCCCAGTTCGATTCCTGGGTTGGGAAGATTCCCTGGAGAAGGGATAGGGTACCCACTCCAGTTTTCTTGGGCTTCCCTTGTGGCTCAGCTGGTAAAGAATCTGCCTGCAATGCGGGATGCCTGGGTTGGATCCCTGGGTTGGAGAAGGGAAAGGCTACCCACTCCAGTATTCTGGCCTGGAGAAGTCCATGGACTGTATAGTCCATGGGGTCGCAAAGAGACACAACTGAGCGACTTTCACTTTCACTTTTCTCCTACAGCCCTTTGTTCGTATAACCAGTATTGCAGTTATTAGATGATCTTCTAGTTATATTACT